GCCTTGGTAGTAGGCCTGCATTAGTGAGTTTCTTTTTGGGAGTACAAAAGACACATTGTTTATGCTAGCTGCGAAACGAGTTCCATTTGGACCTTGGCAGCGAGGGCTATTAGGATTGGGGCAGTTGATGAGTCCTAACCCCACTGTAAAGAATAGGTTTTCATCAATCTGAAGTGGGACTTTAACCTTGGAAGGGCTCCTTAGACCGGAAGTGAATGCAATCGCACTGTTTGTGTCGTTGAAGCCTGGGAGTCGTGGGAAGATAGGCGTTGATTGCTTTCCTTTCTTGGCATTGCAAGGAGCTGTCTTGTATTCAAGGATTGCAGTTGTGGTGGTATTGTCAAAAGGTGCGTTGGCTGAGTTATAGGCATGAGCTGCCATGTAGTACTGACCTGGGGTTTGATCAGCAGTGAGGAGGACATCAGTTGTCTGACCAGGAGATATCATGATGACTGAGGTTGTGAAAGGTTTGGTGTAGGCAGCATCAACAGCAACTACTGTCAGTTTATGGTTGGCCACTCCAAAGAAGAGTTCTTGGTTCAGGGCAGCATTTATGACCCTTAGGAGGATTGTTTCTCCAGAACCCACAGGAAATCTCACAGTTTCTACATTGTCAAAACCACAACGGAAGTGATATTATGGTCAATGGTTAGTGAAAATTAACGTTACAAATGAAAACTAGAGCTGAATAAATCTGAAAGCATAATAATAATAATTAAAAAAAAAAAAGAATAACTGGCGAACCTTGCTTTGAGCATCTATAGAGATCGCCAGGTTGGCCGTTGATGGTATAAGCATCGGATATATTTGGTGCTGCACCTGTGAAATCCGCTAGCCTCAAGACATCCATAGGGTTCCTGTCCCACCACTCCCCTGTTAATCAACAACATAATCAGCTCGCCAGTTATGCCACCATCTAATGAGTTGAAGACTTTGGATTGAAAATGAAAGATGGGTTACCGAGAAGAATGGGAATTTCTGTCCTGGGCATAGGGAATGGATATGGAGAACCCAATTTAGGATGAATGATTAGAGCACCATAAACGGTGGCTCTAAGCCATTTGCTATGAGCATGCCACCACAAAGTCCCCTCTTGATTTTCAATTGTGAATCGGTATGTATAACTCCTTCCTGGTTGGATGGGGCATTGAGTGATACGATCGGGTCCATCAGCCCACGGATTTCGCAGCTGTCGGATTCCATGCCTGATTAATCAAGACAACAACAATCGATTATGAGTTAAAACATCCATGTATGTATATGCAATTCTCTTTTTTTCTCATCTACATGCATAATATGTTCGATAATTACCAGTGGAGGGTAACATTGTATCTAGCATTATTTACTGCTTTGATCACAAGAGAATCGCCATCGCGCACTTCCAATGTTGGTCCTGGAAATAGTCCATTCACTGTAATTGTGTTATGGGTTCTGCACAGCCTCTTCACTGGTTTAGCTTGAATCTGTTTCCATCGACACGAAAAGGGAAAAAAAGGAATTTACTTCACAGCTTTATATTCTATCACAAGCAAAAGATAAGAAGATAGTAACGAAGAGAACACATACAACAAACTCTCGGTAGTGAGTTTCTGCTTCAGAGAAATGAGCTTGGAAACTGAAGATTACAAAAATACTAAGAAAAAGGCGGTAGGAAACTTGCTTGACAGTCAAGTTACGAGTCTCCATTGCCGTGTAAGCTCGTTACAGATGATGTGTGAGATACAGCCTAGAACGACAGTTTATTTATAGTAAGATAAAGCGGGAAAGGACAGGACTTCAACTTTCCTTTCTTTTTTCTTCCTCTCTGAAAGGGATGTTTTGGGCAGATGAGATTATATGAGTCAACAATGACACGGGAGTTTGAGGACAGTTTAGTCCAACCAGAAACGGATTTGGTGCACCCACTTGCCCCCATAAATATTTTGATCAACCAAATGAAGATCCTGCGCTAAAAGGACTAGGGCACATACGAGGGACCAATCATATGATCATGCTGCTGAGCAGTTCAACTCATCTTGCCATGGTATTTGGAGGCTTGCCTTAAAGGCTCGATACCTTGATTTGTTTTTAGCGTAGCGGTGAGTTAACTTGTTTCATTACATAAGCAAATGATTCGAAGTTAAAATCTTCTCTTCTTTCTGTAGGTTATACGTGCCAAAGGCAGGTCTGAGTTCTTCAGTTAGGAGGTAGGTATCCATAATTATTCTTGTTTGTTACTTGATTGGCTCTTTATGTAACAGGGGTCCTCTTTCCTCACTTACTTCACTTACTTCACACAAGTTTATTATCATGAGAGAATAATATAAATTATATTTTATAATTTAAATTATTAAATTAAAATGATATTTTAACTTAGTATCAAAATTTTAATAACTAAATAGTCATGAGTTTGAATTTTATCATTTTCATTTATTTGATAAAAATTAAGTATATAATAATATAGACTTGTATAAGTTTCAAGTTTAAATGATTTTTACTTAAGAAAATGTGTTAAAAAATAATATAAATTATATCTTAGATCTTATCTAACAATTTAAATTATTAGGTTGAGATGAAATAATAAACATTATATTTTGGACCTTACCTAACAGCATAGTTTATTAACATTCCAGGCTCTAGTTTGAAAATCATGCTATTAATATCAAATCTGGTGTGTATTTATTGAAATATCATATCATTACTTCATTAGAAATATATGTATTTTTTAAAATTTTGAGAAGTGCTTTAGTTGTGGTACTTAGAGAGTAATTAAAGATATTTTATTAATTACTCTTTAAATGTTTTTTTTATAGATATAAATAAAACTAATAGATGGAGATATTTTTATTATCATCATTGGTAGATCATGAATTTTATTAGCTTCTTTTTATTTGTGTTTGTTTTCTTGTTTAATTAGGATTGTGCTGAGAAATGATCAAAATTATGAGACTTTTTAATTATTTCATAAGATTAAAATTATTAAACTAACCCCGAAAACCTAACAATATAGTAAATGAAAAAAAAACCTAATACATTATTGGCTCGTCATGGTTAGACAATGAGTCAAGTACAGAATCAATGGTTAGCTCAACCATTATACACTGCCTGTCAGCCCATGTGGACCAATCAATTCTTCGTGGTAGTAAATAAAATACAATATCAAATGTTCACTTCCTAGCGTATGATTAAATCTCAAGGCATAGAAAATCTCAGGACAGTTAGGGTAAGGTTGAAATTTGGTTTAGGGTTTGGTGGAATGAGGAGAAGTTATGATGTTATTTTTTCTGTTAGCGGTCCAGTTATTAAAAATGTTAGAATATAGTTTTAACCCTAAAGTCCATGGGCTTGACGATTTTAATTATAATTTAAAAAAGCAAAAAAGAAAAGGCAGCCATCATTCTTGACCCATGAGCTCAAGCTTCTTTCAATGGATTTTGTTTAAAGTAGTTATATTTCACCAGATAGCCTCGAGCAGAGGAGTGATTTTCAAGCAATATTTATGTGTGGCGTACGTTAGTCATTAGGAATGGATTGCTACAATATTTATTGTCAAACAATGCCATTTTTTTTAAAATTAAAAAAATTATAACATTTTGAAAACAATGCAGTCTTTACTTATACTAAAACCTAGTTTAGAGTGAATTCCACTCGTTACATTGCGTAAGTCGTAAACTATTTGATTTTTATAAAATTTAGATATTTTGACTAATTATAAAATTCAATTCAAGATAAAGCTGGGGGTGATAGGTCAAGACGATCCATCAAGATAAACTCTAGATTTTTTTCTAGAAGGATCAAAACAATGTTTTTTGACCAATTTTTTTTTTTTAAAAAAAAAACCAATGAGTTGAAGACCAAACTGGGATTTACAACTTCTTCTTTCTTTCATCAAAGGGTTTGAACTTGAAAATCTACCATCGGTTGGATTTGAAGAAATACTTTAAAACGAAGAGGGCATTACATAATCTTTAATCAAAGGGTTTGAACTTGAATATCTACCATCGGTTGGATTTGAAGTGATACTTTAAAACGAAGAGGGCATTACATAATAATCTTATAAAATTCAAATACCAAAAAATATTAAAAATAAAATTAATAAGATTCATTAATTAAAAATCCACTCATCTAATACATGAGATACACATCCAGCTAAGTTTACTTTCAATGCAAGGATTTTGTAAGCCTATCGCGTACTACTCTATAGATAGGGCTTTGGTGAAAAAAGCATGGATTGTCAAGGAGTAGCATTCGATTTTTAAACAGCCTACCTACGGTAGTTCTTACTTGTTTGTCAAACAGATTAACTATATATATAAATAAACATCAATCAAGGCACTGATCAATTCATAAACTACCTTTTCCACTGTATTAGGTGATAAAATTGAAATATGCGGCCAGACCAGCCTGCTCAAGCAACTTCTTGTCGTCTTCCTGAACTCCCTCCCCCAAAATTTCTTGGGAAAAATACATCATCAGGGACACCTGTAAACCCAGAATCCCATACATCTTAATGAATTAGGTAGGCCGCCAACTGATTTCTAATAGTATGATCTTGCACCCAAAGTGGAAACTTGATACATATAGATAGGTGTTCCCTCATTACAATGTTCTTTACCTGTTCTAGCGAGACAGTTTGCATAGTAATCTGACAGCAACTTTCTAAGATAACATCTGCCCAGATCCAGTGATCTACCAGGGTGATACTGACGTAATACCACTGATATCGGTTAAATCATTGGATTCCAGTATAGAAAAAATGACACCTTAAATTCAAGTCTAAGAATACAATTGACAGCTGCCTGTATCAACAGTATATATCATTACTGATTGTTTTTCAAAATGTCTTTTATTTAAAAATACATCAAAATAATAATTATTACTGATTGTTTTTCAAAATGTTTTTTATTTAAAAATACATCAAAATAATAATTTTTCATTTTTAAAAATTCATTGTTAACATCAGCAATAAGAAAACACCAAAAAAATAATTTAAAACAAATAAACAATGTTCAATTTTTTTCAAAAAAGCTTTTAAAATGCAAAAACAAATGGAGTCAAATTAGAGTAGAATACATCAAATTTTGACTTCCAGACAGGACTTTTCAGGTTCCCCGATGTGCACGCAACATTAAGCAAAAAATAACAAAAGATACACTGCAGAAAAGAATACATCAAGAGAACAAAGACACAAACCTGTTCTGTGTAAAAATTGAAAGAATATCCAAATAAATTGTGAAAACCTGGCACAACATTTCCAAAACCGCTCAAACAGAACTGGCTGGCCACGATGGAGGCTGACAAAAATCTGGCAGGGAAATCTCATGGTAAACTACGAGTCCAAAGAGAGTATCAGTGCAGAGCTTGAACAATCCATTCAACTCTCTGTTGCTGACAAGTAGCGCAGTAATTCCAGATCAGATGCAGCTCCCAAAGCTGAAGCAAAATGCCTGCTGATCAGGGGAAACGCATTAAGCAAAACACACTTTATATTTGAGCTATCTGCTGATTCAATGCCTGAAATGACTTGATTTTTGACTCGCAAATATTAAGAAATTGGGACAATAATGTAGAGTCCCCCGTCACTATCTTCCTTGCAACATCAAGGGGACTCCATGTCTTCAATTCTTGTGAGATCCGATCACCAAGTTCAGCCTCATTTATTGATGGAATTAAACATTCCAGAACATGGAAAACACGCCCAGGCCCTTCATCTTGTTCCTTTTTCCTAAGAGAGGAAAGCATAATTTCCACACTCTCATCCTCTGGTCTGTCAATCTGACCTCTGATCCATTTTGCAACCTCTTTAACTGTATCACATAAAGACTGGATTGAATCCCTAATGTCATTAAACACCAGAGATGAATGCTGGTCCACAGGCCCACCTTTCTTCTTTTTCTTTCCAGATGGAAGAGATGATCGAACACAAGATTGAATCACAAGACCATGCCAGGCCAATGGCTCTGTAACCAATTGCACTAAAATTGGAAGATCAACCCTTGGCGAGCAAATAAGAGACTCCATGGATTTGATCTTCTCTGAAATATATTTCACCAGCAAAGTATCCACTACATACCAAATACCACGGCCACACTGATCTCCGTTAGGCTGTAAGGGCTCATGGGAATTCAAATTCCAAGCATTCAAAAAGACAGCAAAGTTTATCCAGTCGATCTCGTCTGAACCAAAAGCCTGTGTCAAATCCAAAAATTAAAATGCATCCAAGTTTTTGTGGTATTTAAGTGATCCATATTGGGTGACTTGAATAAAGCAAGCTAGTGATCACCAGTAACTAATCTTTTTTAAAGATGACAATTTTAACAGAAGCACATGCTTTATAAGATATATTCGCTTGGTGTGCATCCAAAAGAATGGAAAAAAGATAAGACAACCTGCCTAACACAGAAATGCTTTCACACCTACAACAATGTGTCTCATACCTATATCACCTCATCTGAATGTGAATCAGAATTATACACCCACATCAACAAGAATATCATGAAAAATAATAGAGCAGTAAGAAAAAGCAAGGAATAAGATTGACAGCACAAGTATACCTCAAAGGATTTTACACCACTGGAAACACCCATAACCACTTCAACTGCATCACTTAAAGAGAAGCCTAACATCTTTGCATGGCGCTCAAGCAAAAACTTAAACTCTGAGGAGATTTTTGACCCAGATATGGACCCATTTTCTTCAACACTCTCCTTAAGTGATGCTGAAGCACTGTGAATAGACAAATAAATCATCCGAGGGAGAAGGGATTTCTTTTCAATAACTCCCCGCACATTTTCTTCCCTTTCCTTTATCTATATTCAAGTCAAAAAATAAACATAAAGGGCATTAGGAACACACAGAAAGTCCATTAAGTATATGGATTGCTATTGCCAAATATTACATAAAAAGGCAAATCAATGAATGAAGTTCCTTACCAAGTTTTCCTTGGGACAATATGATACTCCTTCAAATGGACCTGGGAAATGAATTGTTTCAATATACAAGAGAATTCATAGAGAGACAGGAAATAAGAAAATACCACTGTTACCCAAACCATCATAGCTTCTTCAATACCACTGAACATAATATGCTTTTAAAGATGTAGATATTAAGAAACAAAGACCGCATGAATAACCTAAAAGATAATTTTTCTCTGTAGTTGGTGTCCACCAAGGTCGTGATTGGAAATCTTCATTGAATGTTAAGGTTTTGGATCCAATCTCATTGGAGAGCTCAACAAAGTGAACCCCGCCATTCAAGTTTTCAAGAACACCCTGAAAGACAGCATATTCATCAGATACAAAGGTATGGTGTTGAAACAGATAAAAGTGATGCATACCTCTTCTTCTTCAATGTTATCTGCCTTCTGTTTTAGCTGTAGAATGGGTGTCTCAACCCTTGCAACTAAATACTGATTAGATCGTTGCAATCGCTCCTTGAATTGAACAAACTCTATTACCTGAAATACAAAGTAACAGGATTGTCTTGAATCTTGATTACACAAATCTATTTCAATACCATATCCCCTTCAATCTAGGGGCATGTTACCAGATTCATCGGGAGAAAGAAACAGAACAAATGTTTTAGATGGATAAAGGCAATGACCAAAAAGTGCAGAAAGCAGTCATCCACAGGTAGACAATAGAATCAAGTAATTGGAAAGACGGCCACACACAATGAACTGGCAAACAATTCCAGGAACATCTAAGATTCATTTAAAAAAGAAACTTGCCTTAAGTTTTTAACACAGAATAAAAATAATTATATTGATAATGTGGCATACTTTAGAATAGTTTCTGTGGCGATAAGCAAGGAATGTCAGATCTGCAGATTCCCTGAAGTGGTCATCCATAAACCTGAGATAATCTTTCAGCAGATTATTTAAATCCCCCCAAAGAGGAGATACCAACATCTGCGGCAAGATGTGATGAGAAACAGTTTCCATCAGAATATTCTTCACGTCCAAAGATCTATACCTACACAGAGATTTAGAGAGCTGCTTTAGACCTTAGGAAAATCAAAGTGATTTGATGAGTATAAAAGGGGGGAAAGAATAACCAAGTGGCTAGACAGAATTTGAAATACAAACCAAAAGGTAACAGTATTTCATAAACTAACAATGTGAAATATATGATATCGTATGTTACCACTCATAAGCTAATGAAATTGCACCCAAGTGTGAATACAAGTGCAGCAACAAGATCTTGTACTGCCATATATATCTGCCAAATACGACCAAACACAAAAATTAGTTTCAAGAATGTGAAGTTCCCAACACAGCAAACAGTTTCCAGAAGAAAACAAATGGTTTCACATGCATAGCACTTGTATCCACTAATCCTTTATTTGTTTTCCTCCAAAACACTTAATACATGCTTTCTTCTCATTCATCAAGCAGAATTTCTAGTGCCAATTAAATGTGTTCAAGGTGGCGCAGATTTAATAGAACCCACCCCTGCCAAAGCCTAAATCATTATAAAGATTTGGAACTCTTAAAATGCCATGTGTGAAATTACAATACAATATCAGCAGTGAAAAACTATCTTACCTTCGAATAGTCAGGCCAAACTCCAAAACCATAATTGCCTCTATGAAGTAGCCAAGATGTCTTGTACGCCAGAATAGCTATTTAAAAAGAAAGGGAAAGAAAAAACGAAAAAAAAATGCAATGAATATATATATATATATATATATATATGAGCATAACCTCAAAGAGAACAATATAGTAGTCAATTAAATAAAGAAAATCTTGTAACTAGCAAACCAATTCATGAAACAAGATCTAGAATAATGTAAAAGCACGCATGCACGCACAAGTAGCCATAAATCCATGTGTTGTGTGTGCACGCATGCACGCACACTAACCTAGACATCAACTTTAGCAGTGTCACCTCCATTATCAGGCAACAACAAGGTAATGAGCATCGGAGTATAAACTTCTTAAGAACAAGATAGGATCGTGTCAAAATATCCCACAAGAAAATTTTCTTAAGTCAAATAAACAATATTTCATGGACTAATGGAGACTTGTTGCACCATCTAGGATAAAGTCCTCCTTAAGAAATCATAAAACCCATCCTCATATCCAGGCATCTACCAGTACATATGTGTCCACACATCTGATCCGAAAAAATGAAAGTATGAATTGAGATACCTGAACCAACACATTGCAAACCATAGATAGCAGCTCTTCACCATGCATGCTCTCTTGTGGATCCAAATCCTTTGAAAGTGGAAGACTTTTACAATACATCTCCACCATTTGTATGGCACAGCCTTCAAGTTCTGAAGAAGCATGGATGAAGTTAATATCATTAAATCCAAAAAAAAAAAAACATTGAATAAAAAGCCAATTTAATTAGAATGAAACACGTTACAAGGAACAAAGAAAATGAAGTAGACTACATAACTGGGAACCTTCTACCAAAAAAAGAATTTGCAGGAGACTCAGAAAATAAAGAGGATGCATTGCTGAACACCACAATTTAGAAGAGAAAAACATGGTGAAGATTTATGTTTCTGATCACTCTTATGCCATTATGAGACATTTAAATTCGATGCATGGCTACAAAATACAAAATACAAGTGTAATACTCCCAGGGGTTGTGCAGTTTGGATGTGCAAAAGATTGTGTGTAGGGTGAGCAAGGGTACGTGTGCAAAAGAAACACACACCAAGCACAGGGAGCTTATACATATTCCCAGTCAACTCCTGAATTTTGAAAATCGTGATTGACTGTCCAAGCACTTTAGTTGGTGCAGTAGCAGAGGAGTCCAAAGTTTTTATCAACTTCGCAAGAAACTCCGTCTTTTTATCTGGAGTTAAGACTTGCAGAAATGCCTCAACATCAGAACTGAAGCTTGCTAAGTGACCAAACCTGCATGAAAAAAAAAGGAGTACCAGAAACTTTTTGTAAGAACTGAGAATTTCTTTGAAGCATACAAATGACTGACAAATGGTTGTGAGGAGGAGATAAATTGTTCATCTAGTCTCGACTTCATATCCATTATTTGCCAAACACAGAAACAAAAATATTTTGGATGATTTACAGACTTTGTGCACAATTACACTCAGCAGCTAGGTCCACACAAGTTGGGAAGAAAAGAAAGAGTTATATACTTGAGGAAATATAGCATTAGAGCCTCCACAATATCATCATCATTGCCCTTTCCATGTAATCGCTTCCTCCTCTCAATTTCAAGAGTTGCCAGGTATGGACACCTAATAAAATCATTTCTGGTGTCTGCTTGTAATTTTTTCACAAAAGCTAATGAAGTCGATATTCGAGAATGAAACTGCACATTTAATTTGCAAAAATCAAAATCTGCATAAAAAGTCATAAAAAGACCTGCAAATATGCAGATACGACAGAAAATACAAACTACATATAAAATTCAAGGGTAGTAAATACGCACCACTTCATCTGCCAATTGAGAGACTTTGCAATCCACGGGTTTTGGGGGATTAATTGGATCATTGTTGGCTCCATTGCTCCAGCTGCTGCCATCCTCCAGCAAACAGCCTAGATAATGTAGGAAACACTCCCAATCATCAGGGCTGCAGACAAACCAAACAAGATTAACAGCTAAAAAAATATACATCCTCAAATGAAATGACCAAAATAGAAAATTTCCGGATTGGAAACAGGAAACAATTAGATGCATCACAATCTCTAGCAACAAGTTTCAACTACTCAATGTTCTACAGCAGTCAAATTTTAGCAAATGCCACGCTGGTGCGTGTAATTTGAACATGCAGGTGAGCAAGCAAATTCATAGTAAACCCGAAAGAAAATAAAAGGTGGCTAACAAGCAGCAAGAGGGGGAGTGTGGATTATCTATCATATGGGAATGCTTTAAAAACAGTCAGGTGATCCATATAAGGGCAACAGCAAACTTTCAGACCTCATTGACACTAGGGCAGAATTCAAAATAAGGTGTCAGGCTCCTAGTTGCAAATTCTATTCCTAAAGGACCTAGAAATTAGTTATCTGAAGCTATGACAAGGCTATTTTCATTGAAAAAATGTAAAATCTCCACAATAGGATTATCAGAATAATAATTCCATGACTTCTAAAAACTTGCTACAAGCTTTGAAATGTGGGTTTCCAATAACTGGCTGTTTTCACAAACTATCCCATCTGCTAAAGCAAACAGCTTGTTTTCCCTCTACAATTACAAGAGGCTATTCATTTTTCCTGCATAATGCAACTGCAGCCTGTTTGATATCATGGTTCAGTAATCCCCGACTTATAGGTCACAGCTGTCCTATTCTGAACAGCCTAAACAAATCAATCAAACTCAAATCTAACCATAACACCTAAAAATAAAGAAAGAAAGTTAACAGAGGCTAATAATGCAGCTAGTAGAAGAAATAAACAGCTAAAAATGAAAAGAAGAGAGAGATAGAGAATTTTCCTGGTTCTTTTATTACAATTTACAACACACAACATAACACTATATTATATAAGTTGTGTGATCTTAGCTGCCTCCGTTGGTGATAAAAATCTCAAAACTGAATTCTTGAAAGAAAACTGTCACGCGCATACCATAGTTCTAAAATCTTCTGATATATGCTGGCACGTAACACTATATTATCTAAGTTGCGTGATCTTAGCTGCCTCAGTTGGTGATAAAAATCTCAAAACTGAATTCTTGAAAGAAAACTGTCACGCGCATACCATAGTTCTAAAATCTTCTGATATATGCTGGCACTTGTAGCATAGTCACCTGACCGAGCAAGAAGCCTCCCCTGTCAACTTAAAGTCAAAGAGTACCAGGTTGATAAGGAAACCAACAAGTAAAAAGAAAGAAGTTCCAAGAAAATGCATGCAAGACAGCAAGAGATAATGTGTTCTCAATTTCTATAGCAACAAAGTTGCATGAAAACTTAAATGTTGGAAACAAAATGATGAAAGGAAACAGTTTATATATATATATATATATAGAAAAGTAGGGCAAGGTGAAAGTGCAACCAAAACCATGAGCATAGATGATTAAGCCTTCATTGGGATTCATTTGAATGAGCAGGTGTTATTTATCAGCAGAAAAGCCTATGTGGCCTATAATATTATACAGGCATGCCCCTTTCAGTATTGAGCCCAAAACTTGATAGTCATTATGCTAAGAATTCAAGTTTATATGGCATAATCCTCATAAAGTTGTGTGGAAGTTCCACTTCAACTCTCTAGTGGAATGTAAGTCACAGGTCATCTAGCTTGTTTGCACCTAGTTCCATTTTACCAAATCTCATTTTCCATTCTAGCTTTCTTTTAGAATACCTCTTTAGTCTTGCCCATAACAACTCACCTTTTATTTACTTGACAAGTTCAGTTTCTCATCCCAAAAACAATGAAGAAATATAATATCTACACAGAAAATCCATAAGATGTGCATTATCTTATGTATAAATTCAAAAATGTAAAATATTACTCTATTGTCAACAGAATTACTTCTAAGATAAAGAAAACCACGACATAATGTTTCAGAAAATACCTGTATACGTAGCTTATCAACTTCAATCACTAATAGTGATCCCAATTGCCCTGAGAGAATTTCCAATGCATCACCATACTTTTCTTGTTGTTCTAATATGGAAATATAGACCATAAGAGCTGCAACGGAGTTTTTACAAGATCAGAGAGAAGATCATTAATGAATGATAGTTGTTCAAATTTTGGCAACAGATATGGAACTCACCTTCAGGCTCATGCAAGCTGTGGGAAGCTACATGCTTCTTAAGTAACCCTTCAGCTAGCATTGCTAGTTTCTCTCCTCCATTGCCACAAAATACCTGCAATAAGATCAGAGCAAACAAAATAAGCAGCAAAACAAGAAATTCCACCCAGGCAAGAAGTGTTTTCAATAAACAAGCATTCTAAAGGCTGCACATGGGTTGCATGTGGAAATACAGCAAGAAGCTTCTTAAGACAAATGCTGTTTAGTTTTTTACCCTTTCATGACAGAAATGGACATAATCAAATACATAAACTATACACTAGGCCAGGACCCATTCCATGGAGATCAATTCACAGAAGTAGAACAGATAAAACAAATGCTAGATAAACAATGAATTAGGTTACTAGCCAACACAATCCAGAACACCAAGAGAAAAAAGGTTATAAGTGCAACCCCACCTGGGCAGCATCAACCTTTTTCTGTTGGGATGCAAAAAAAAACAAGAAGAAATGAGAGCAAAGGAATGAGGGACAAGAATGGAGAAATCACCTTTATTATTGCTTCAGATAACTAAGTGTTCAATTACAAACTTAGATTACATTGAGTCCATGGGTAAAGTACCAGGAACTAGCATCTCGACATCTAAAATTGATCAAATAGGTAAAGAAGCAGGGTAACATGATGATGACTTAACAGAAAAAGTTTTTTCATGTATATCCGGCAAAAGTTCAGACAACTCCACTGTAAAGGTGACATCCACAATAAGTACATTGTGAGATGGATGACCAAAGGAATGAGAATGTAATTTGGCTTTGACAAGTGTTAAATTAGAGGACAGAGATCAGATCATAATGGCCTTAGTTTCAGATATTAACTTGCTAAAAAAATAAAAAGAAGGAAAATCTAATACTCGAAGCCCTTAATTTGTCAACATCAAGATTGCTTAGGTGTTCATGTTCCCAGTGATGCAGTTGGGTGTCCATAAATAACTTGCAAGAGGCAATGAAGGACAAGTTGCTCACAGCGTAGACCATAATCTCCCCACAAACTACCCCATGCACTCCAATATGTTATTCACATTTTGTACCATTTACAGTTCTCAAATTCTTTAAGCGAAAATGTGAGATGCATGCATGAGCTCCCAATTTTATATCCTTTTTTCAAAAAAAAAAAAAAGGGATTGCAGTGTTTCAAATCTGAAACCAGATCAGACTGTTGAACCGCTGCAACCTTTACCAGATTCGATCTTGGCTTTGCATACTGCAGGTTTTTGGAGCAATCTAAACTGCATGCAAGGATTTTCTTAATAATTTGTTTTGCTTAAAAAATATCTTGTTCAACACATGTGTCTTCAGTTATATTGCATTGTTAAAAGATTTATGGTTACATTCTTCCAGCAAGTAACCTCAGCTGTTCATTCCTTTTCTCAATTTTGAATGTTCTGTGTTAGCAGTAATCTAATCGGGCATGAATGCAGGCGTTCAAAACTTAACTAAGAGAATGCCAACAACAGCAACAAAGTATTAATTACAAATTGGTCGGAGCCAGCTATATGGATCCTTTGACGCCAATCCACCTCAATATCAAGATTTTGAGCAAACAAATTTTCCAAATTCTAAGGTTGCAAGACATGAAGCAAGGGTGATATTCATTAGTTAAATCAATAAGCCTTTCGCCATAACACCAATTTCCATATATAAAACCAATAACTTATAATAATACATGCACCATGCACACATAATGTGACAAGAAATGTTAGTAGCTTAAAGAATAAATACTATAAAATAAAAGGCACATGCTTAACAATATACAAGAAGGGAAGGCTGCTATGACCTGTAATTGGATGCTACAAACTGCCCAGAGCAAAAACCTCTCTTCACCAACAAGCTTGTACATTTTGATGGCTGTCTGCCAGATGATGACATCATAGTTAGAAAGCATTAGCCTAATTGTTCCACAATCTGTATCAAGCAGATGTCAGGACATAGCAATGAAGTTCACATATATCATACAAGAAAAGGAACACTAACCTGCTGCTGCTTCACAAATGAATACTCACGAACATAACAATTGAAAAGTCCCATCATTAGTTCCAGATTGCTTGGAAATTTACTGCAAGCATACTCATAGCATCCAGTAGCCAAATCCACTGATTATATTTAAAGGGTAAAAAAAATTAGAGTCTTCTGATATAATGTATAAAAACAGAGAGTCTCGGAGCAGTAAAGATATACTAACAGCGATCAAGCCGTTGAAAAACAATCTGCAATGTACTGAGAGTTAGATCATCCATTAACAAGGAATCATTCTTGTATAAAAGCTCCTTCGCATTTAAGCAAACTGATAATGCCTCATCAGATTTACCCATCCTTTCCAAGATGAGTGATTTTAGCGCCTGCATCACCAGAACACATCAATTACTCCAAATAATCCACCATTTCAATTCTAATACAATAAACAACATACACCATAACTCTAAAAGTAATTAACTCTAACTATTCCCCAAATAATCCCTCTATCATAAAAACCACATGCTCAAAACCAAACACTAAAGAAGCAAGATTTATAAACATTATAAACAACTGGGATGGCAGCACGACAAGCATTCACCACTTAATCCCCGGATAAAAAAATGACCAAATGTCTGCACAGACATACACGCGCAGGCACAAGCACACCTTGCAAATTTGCTCAGACAACAAATAACTGAAAAATCTACAACTAATTACGTAAGTTACTAGAGAAAAAAAGCTCAAAGCTAACACCCTAAGCAGAATCCAATTAGCAAAAGTAAAGACACAAAATCACTTCACTTTACAGTAATTAGCAATCAAGAGCTGAGTCAATCTACGAAATATTTGAAGTCTTACGAGTGCGTAAGGTGAATTAGGGCATTTAGCGAGGAGTGCGGTGGAGTGTTTAAGCGCATTCTTGAACTGACGAGAATCGATTGCATCCCAAATCGGTCTCACTCGCCGTTCCGGTATCCCTCCAGCTAACCCAAACTTCGATGCCATTGAAGCTTTTTCCCTTTTCTCGAAAAAAATAGGGTTTTTTAGCTAGGGTTTCAAATATTTCTTTCTCTCTGTGTAAGAGATCAGCTGACTGACTTTTTTAGGTTCTGTTTGGAGGATATGGTTGTTTTTCAAATGGAAGGAAACCTAGCCAATGAATGGGGGTGTTTGGATACGGGACCGGAAGGGGACTGGACTGGTATGTGATGGTCTTACGCCTGGTTTGGCTGGGCTTTCGTTGATCAACCAACAAATTTTATGGACCATAGTATTTTAAATCGAATGCCCAGATTGTGTTGGGGCGTTGCCTGATTGGGCTAGCCCCAGTTACATCATGGGGATGAATAGACCACGTCATTTTTTTTTATTTTTTTTTATTTTTTTTTATTTATGTGGGATGTCCAGACCAGCTTGCACGCACCACGACTAATCTTCACGGCTCACTGAATACCCTGCAAACCTAGTAGGCATGTAAAGCACCGCGGGGGTGACAGGCGTGCACGCCAGGACTCGAACCCAGGGGTAGTGGAAGGAGACAAGCCCCTTCCACCGCTAGGTCAAGCACTGGAATGCATGTCGTTGCTTGATTAGGCTAGGACGCAGGTTTAGCAATGTTTGGTTTTATTATTTTTTTATTTTTTTATTTTTTTAAAATAAAAAAAATAAAGTATTAGTTGATATTTTTGTGATATTTTTTATATTTTAATTTGTTTGTAATTTTTTTTAATGATATTGTAGGTATTTAGTTTTTAAAGAGGAGGGTATAATTTATTTATGATTTTTTTTATATATGTGTTGGTTTTTATTACAAATTTTATGTATTTTTCCATTAGAAATTTATTTTGATAGAGAAATTCATTAAACACAACAAGGTGAATTACTCGTATTGCGATATTAGATATTTTAATTTTTATTTATCATTTACACAGCAAGGTGAATTACTCATATTGCGATGTTAGATATTTTAATTTTTATTTATCATTTAATTTATTTATAGCATCTTAGTATTGGGTTGATGCTTTGCTTTGCAATCGTATTTATTTTTATTATGAAGTTAAATAAAAACTAGTTTTAGGAAAAAAAAATTATAACCTCACTAAAGTTCATATCCCAATTCATAAATTTAGCGTGATTGCCGGGGTTATTCCAGTGCATAGGTTTGACGAGTTCACCCGCTGCCCGTGTATGCATTTTTGGTTTTCAGTTTATTAATTGTTTTAAATAGTTTTTTATTAATTTTATTCTTCAAAAATTGATTGGTTGGGAAATAAATTATATGATTTATTTATCTTTTGCTTTCTTTAGGGTTTTCATTAACTAAAATATTTTTAGGTTGGTTCTCAATTTTATAACTATATATTTTCATCATATAATTAAAAAAATTATTTTATAAAAAATAAATTATTAAACTCAATAAAGTCCATAACATGTTTTGCTTGGAGACCGAGATTGATCTAATTTGTCATTGTCTCGATAGATTTTATAGAAAAAAATTTAATCTTGAAGTTTCATAAAAAACTAAATCATGTTTTTACTAGATATTAAAATTGCATTTTGATTCATGAAATCAATCAATTTAATATGGGTCAACTCCCGCGCGATTTAGTTTAAAACTTGAGTTATGTAAAGAGTTAAGTGACGAGATTTTAATAAGATAATAAAAAAATTATTCACAATCTCAAGATTGATCCATAAAGTCAGGTTTGATAAGATAATAAAAAAATTATTCACAATCTTATTATTTTTTTATAGTTTAAAATTTAAACAATTTGTCCAACTCGCAATGGAATGCGAACCAATAAAATGGTCATCAATATATGACATCCTTATATCTACATGCTTGTGTTATTTTAAAAGGAAATAAGATATTTTCAAGAGTGTTTAATTGATAAAGATTGAGAATGGAGATTTAGTGTCCTCTTGTTGCCAAGGTTGAACTTTTTTTTGTTAAAATTTAATTTTTTTATTTTAAATTATTTTTTAAAATATTTTTAAATTGTCTCAATATACTGATTTTTTTTTTAAAATATAGTATTTTAATATATTCCACATGTGTACAACGTCATGACAAAGCTTCCACTCTCGGTATTGTATCAGTCTAGCAAATAAGGAAGACAAAGATTTTTTTCTCTTTTATCAATGGAAAATGGGAATAAGAGTTGTCATCTAATATCATGATTACTATAAAACCCTAATTGGTCTTAGAGATTAAGCATGAGAATTAGTTGCGTAAAAGGAAGGTATTAGCCACCCAAGTACGTGTCACCTAAGGTACACTTTATTATTCAATTGTCTGACATGTGCTAAGATCTAACTGTTGGTCTGTCTATGATTTTAAAAAAAATCATCCTCGATGAGGGAATACTTATCTTATTAGGTAAAAATGTAATTGTTGCAATATCTATAAAAGAACTACATTTTCAATAACGAGAATATGTTTTATGTATAAATTTGTTATCCCTGATGCTTAAACAAAACAAAATATTTTTTAGATTTTTTTTAAATATTGTCCTAGTTCTCATGGATTTAATAAAATAGTTATTAAAATCAGAATACATGCTAGAACATATTATGAATTTTTGTTGTATAAAAATACGATATGATTTTTTTAAAAGACATAGCTGTATGCAAGAAAGTAAGATATTTTTTTTGTTTTTATATTTTTTTTTGCAATATTTCAAAGAAAGCCAGGTGTTTTAATACCGGATTTATATTTTTATAGTATAAAATACAAATAAAGAAAGCCAGGTGTTTTAATACCAGATTTATATTTTTATAATATAAAATACAAACTAATATTAAGTAAAATTTAGTAGAAAAATACATGAAAAATCATAAATTTTTTTGAAAGAATTTTGATTTTTTTTTAACTAGCCGGACCTGGCCCATTCATTTTGGGCTGAGTTGGACTTGTCCAGCCCAATGAACAATGGGGGTGCTGGGGACGACGAAGGAGAAGAAGCTAACCTAACAACGATGGTAATGCTGGTGTTAACGACGGTAGACGGTTGCGGTGTTGACGAAGAATCATGCGGCGGACGAGGGATTCTAGACGGTGGTTCTTCTTTGTTTTTCTCTATGTTTTTCTTGTGTTTCTTTCTTTTCTTTATTTTTGTTCTCCCGCTTCTACGTTTCTTCTCCAGTCTTTAATGATGGTGGAGCTACTGTTGATGACGGTGTTGCTAGTGCTAGTGGTGGCAAACTAGGGAGCTGAGGGTGGTTGGTGGTTCTTTTTTCCGTGTTGTTATTGCCTTCTATTTCTGCCCTCCCTCCTTTTCTTTGTTTTGTTTCAATTTCCCTCTGTTTTTCTTCCTAAAAACTCTCCTTTCTTCCTCCTTATTTCCCGCAAACAATTCCCTAGTTCCGTTTATTTTTTTCTTCATCAGTTCATCCCCTTTGTGTTTCTTGTTGTGCTCTGTTTCCTTCTTTCCAAAGTATTGTCCTTTTCTCTCTGTACTTTCCTCCCATTCTTTTTCGTTTCCCCTCCTTTTTTTCTCTTCTCTACCTCTCAATATTTATAGACAGAGAAAAAGAGAATCACCCTGCCTTATCTTGTCATAGTGTAGGGTAGGGTGGAACCGGGCAGCTCCTACGCCACCGTCCCTATCTTTGCAAAGCATGGTTTTCTTCTTCTTTAAGCATGGTGATAAGGTAAGGAGGCATGAGTTACATTAATGGTGACAGGATATGGGATGTGGTTTGTCAGGATTTGTGCAAATAGGAGGGGAAAAGAGTGAGATGGGTGTTGCAGGGGAATAAAATATCTTCTTTCCTTGTCTCTGCATGTAAAAAAAAAAAAGTGAAATGAGCATTGTATGGTAGGGGAAGGAAAAGAACAATATCGTTTAAAATGATACTGTTTTAGTTTTTTTTTGAAGGTTGAGAAAAAAATTAAATTTGAAAAAATAACTAAAAAATAAAATATAACAATATATTTTTAAATAAAAATACTTTAAAAAACAATATTTATGGTAACATTAAATACTCCAATGAGCGGGATGGAGGCTGACCTCAAATGAAGGTGGCCCTCCAAAAGAGGATCCCGCACCGTTTAATTTACTCATCTTACCGATTAGTATTATTTATCAGATGATCATGACTGCCATATACCACCATGATCATTGACAACCACCATGAATAAATGCGTTCGTTTGACAATATGAAAAATAAACAAGGAAGTGGTCGAAATATTTTTTTTTGGAGTATCATGTGGTTTTCCTAGACGCAATTGACCAGGCCATAGATAGAGACAGCTTGCTCATTTTCAAACGACTCTCCCTCCACTTATCCACCCCTGGCCTCCTCGCTGTCGGGTCCATCGAACCTTCCTTTCGGTACTTCCCCTTGACCCATCTCCACAAGTCACGAGACATGGCACTGCTTTCAGATAAATAAAAGACAAAAAAACTCTAAAAAGAAGTTCTGACCAGGGAAAATTTCACTCAAACCTTCCAATTTTGGTATACGTTTCAATTAAGTCCTTTTTCTACTGGACGTTTCAATTACATCACCCATGTATCTTTATCGATGCAATGCCAGCATTCCATTCCATTATAAATATTCATATTACGTGCATCATATTTTCCTAAAAATTTATAATTTGAGATTTTTCTAAATTCTCAAATATTCACTCTAAATTAGGTATCTCCAAAATCATAATCTCTATTAACTCTATGCTAATAACTTAACGTGAAATATTTTTATAAAATAATTACTAAATATTTAGCTCATTTTGATGGGAATAATAAATCATTTTTAATACATCATGCTAATAACTCTATGCTAATAACTTAACGTGAAATTTTAGGGTTTTTTTTTTCTTTTAATAGTGAAAAAAATTAAACCAACTTTTATCTATTGAAATCAAAGTCTTTTCTCATTTTGATTCTATGTAGACTACACACGGCCAATGGCGTATATTTATAAATACAAAACTTGGTTCCCATTTAAACCAAAGATTCAAGGATTTATCACTGTGAGCTGTAATTAAAACTTCCAAAGATGAGAGTCCAAATTGAAACACATATTGTAATTAAAGGATCTTAATTGAGTTTTGCCGAAAGATAAGGGCAAAACGTAAAAAAGCAAATCATTTAATTACCAAAATTGCCACTCAAGAAT